GAACGTTGCTCACGTGCATGTCTGGAGTGGCACCTGAGGGGCTCGGGTGCCAAGGGCAATTGCTGCAGCCCCAGCATCTGACTTGAGGATACTCTTCATGCCGGTCAGGCCATGGCTGGGCTCCCATTTGCCTTTAACACCACCTTTATGATCAACTTGGTCTGATAATCCAGCGATCTCTCTTTAAAGAGCAAGCAGTCTGGAAAGGTTAGATAAAAGACTAGGTGTGGGTGATTAAAAGAAAAAATACAAGTCCCTGGACGAGACAGTAGCGATGTTGAGGTTGGTCTTAAAAGAAGAACAGCCTTAATATCTAGGAATCCTTGCTGGGCTCAGGTAACCTAGACACCACTTCTCAATGAAAATATAGATCTGTTTCCTAGCTGGGCCTCAGTGGCTTTCAGAACACAGCTTCTTGGATTTATTGCAAGTCATTAACTGCTGTGCCATGAGACAGAGAGAGTGAGAAGATTAAGGTAACAGCCAACCCCCCCCCAACACCCCCAAAGAGTCTAGCTAGCCTTTGTTGCTGGGAGTGCGCTGTTAAATCATTATCACCTGCTAATTCTTACTGTAAGTTTGGGAAGGAAAATTATTAGCCACATGGCAGAGATTTTTCAATTAATTCTGTCGGCTGAGTCAGTCAGATGTTAACTGCCTAAGAGCTGGAGATGTGTTTAGGGAAAAAGAAACCTGGGTGGGCAAGGCCCTGAGTTAAGACCTGCCGGGTGCAAAATGAAAACGTAGGGCCCTTCGTTTAAAATTTAGTTCAATTTCCAGGCAGTGAAATTGCAGAGCATTAAACTGAGTGCAGGCCCTTCTGGGAATGAGGCCCTGCGTAACTGCGCAGGTCACATGGCATGATGCTGGCCCTGCCGTGGGCATCCTCAGACTTCAGAGGGATTGTGGTGTTGAGCCGAAATCAGGAAGCTGTTCTCTAGCTAGACAGACCTAGTTCTCAGTTTTCATGTTACTGATTGTTTGACCTTCAATAGATGAGGAGGGAGCCTCTGTTTTCTCCTTTGAAACGTGGAGCTAGCATTACTGGTAGTATCGGAAAGATGAAATGAAACTAAGTTTGTAGAGTGCTTAGCAGAGTATGGGGTTTCTAATAAGAGCTCCGTAAATCTCAGTTATGTAGCAATGTTATTGTGCCCTGCTGCACTCCCTCTCTCATTCCTCTTCAGGATCTAACTGCTGACTTCAAGCACTGGCCCCTGGGTTTCCAGGATGGTAGATTTTTTTTTCTTGTTGCCAGAGAATTCATCACCACCACCCTTTGTCATCTTTCAACCGCTGAGGGAATGTGAAGTATCAGTACCCCGGCTCCCTCACCCCTCCGGTGGCATAACTCTGAGCCGTGTGTCTCACACTTGCTCCTGAAGTTTCCCCAGTGGGATTAGCTCATGTCCCCCAGGGGTTGCTGGCTTCACATTCTTGACTGCCTGCCCTTCTCTGTGTCCTTCCCCATTCTCCTCCCAGGGTTCCCTTCTCCTGGTCTCAAGGTCTGCTTCTGGGAGAGCCCAATCTATGATGAGGGCCCACCCCTTGTCTTTCCTTTAATGAAAGTGATAAAAAAAAGATGCTAGAAAGCAGGAAATAGGGATGTTGACATCACCACATCCTTCAGCTTAATCAGTGCTGGAAGGGTACCTTGGAGCTGGTCTGATATAACCTGTGAAGGCATGGGCTGGGTCAACAGCTATGACGCCACAGAGCCCTGAGCCCCAGGACAAGGCCTGTTGCTCCCCAGGCTTCCTCAGTGAGAGCACCACCTCTGAGCTACCCCCAGGGGGAGGTCATGGGGTCTTCCCATCTGCCGGGGAAGGACTGAGCTGGATCTCAGCATCAAGGTTCTCATTATCCATTTTACACCCTCTACTCTTCCCAGCCAGGGTGAGGGCGTTTGTACCCTGTCTTCTACATTTCTTTTTTTTCTGTAGAAAATTCTGAATTTTCCTCCTACAGCTTTTGGCTTCAGCAGTTCAGGCAGAGGTTGTTCTATAGAGTCCTTGGGTTAGAGGTGGACCACACTGGGATCTCTGAAGGAGCCCATTTTCCAAGCATCCCTGCCTGTGTTTATCTTGCAATAGATATTGCAGCATAGAGAGTTTCAAGATTTGTTTACAGAGTCTTTATTTTAAATTTCTATGTTATTTAGTATGAGTTGGGATGTTCTTGAAGTGATATCGTCAAACTCTGCTTTTTGTGTCTGTCTTAGTCCTCTAGGTTCCTTTGGTAACATTTTCAGTTCTCACAGCCTTCCCTCTCCTTCTCTTCCTTCTCCTTTTCCTCTCTCCCTCTGTTGCGGAAGGGGTATAAGGACCTCAGGCTTCTCTTAGAACTTGAGTTATTTTTTTTAAGAGTTATTTATTTAACTTTATTTCTTCTTCTTCTTCTTCATTTTGACGAGAGAGAGAGAGAGAGAGAGAGAAAGAAAGTCACCAGGCTCAGACCTTGAACTGCTGCCAACCATGTGAGAGTTCAGTGGCTTAACCACCATGCCACCTGCTGGTCCCACAACTTGCAGTTTATGTCATGGGCCTCTTTGATGGTCTGATAAAGCCCAGAGGTCCCTTATCAGAGTGGTGTTTCTCAATGCATAACATAAGCCACATAGGATTACAAAAGCAAAACATAAGTAACATTTTAAAATGCTTAAATATATAAAACATCAAAACCTCAATTTGTGACCTTGTTACTGGCAAACTAAGCCTGACTACTTCTACTTGTGGTCGATGAAACAAGAGGTACATGGAGAGTGGAGTTTATTTCTGTCAATTGCCCTGATTCCTGTCTTTTTTCAATACCCATTCCTGGCTTCCCAACTGACCATTCCTTAAATAGACCTCTCCATGACTCAGCACTTGGTCAGATTATTCTTGTGAGAAGCCTTTCTTAATTTCAAGATGGAGCCTATCCTGCTAGATGTCAAGCTGGCCTGCTTCAGTCCAGTACTTTCTATTAAGAATTTAGTAATAACATCTAGTATAATAATTCCTATAAGGTTTGAAGTAGTAACCAACATAAATAATATTTCTATTTATATGCAATAATATAATGAGTATAAAAATGTCTGCATGTCTATCATTGATAAAAATGTTAGTACTGAGGTTTGTGGCTTAGTTTCACAATTGAAGGAAAAGCTAAAATATAGAGATGAGTGAAAAATGAAGATGTGATCCCCACCCCCCGCCTCATGTTCTTAGAATGCCTGAATTCTGTCCTTAGACTCTTGTTAAAAATGTCTGTCCTGGGGCCAGCAGGTGGCACAGTGGCTAAGGCACTGGACTCCCACATGGCTGACTGCAGTTTGAGTCAGCCTCCTCCTGGAACTACAGGCCTGAAACTTAGTCAGGGCATGTGTGCATATGTGCCCCAAATCCTGAGAGGGGAAGAAGGAATTGTGATGTGGCCATCTCCCTGGGCAGTGATTTCGTACTTTCTCTTTCTCTGGCTCTCTGGCAAGTGCATGTGCCTGTAACAAAACAAACAAAACTCTCTTTTAAAAAAAATAAATAAAAATCTGTCCTATGAGCCAGCATATGGCATGGATGTTAAGGCACTGGATCCCACATGGCTGACTATACAGTTTGAGTCCTGGACCCAGTGTCTTGAAAATTACACCAGGGACATTTGTGTGCATGCCCATGCCCCAAATCCAAGAAGAAAATGGAGGTGAAGGGATTGTAGTGTGACCATTCCTCTGGGAAATGATTTCTCTCTCTTTCTCCTTCTCCTCCTCTCTCTTCTGGTGAGTATATACACCTTATAGCAAAGCTGAAGTGGCAAAAAAAAAGTCTGTCCTAGAGTTTGACGTATGCCTGAAATTCCTCATTTTCTACCTGTACTAGCTACAATGTGAGTTCTCACCACTCTGCTTTCCTCTGCTGGGCTGAGTTTAGGACGCGGTAAGGCTGTCCCCAGCACTGGCACCTGAGGACCCACCAATATTGTTCTTGGTCATGGTGACAGTGCTTGGCCTCAGCCTTTAGCTACAGAAGGGATTTAAACATTTTGGCTAAAATGTACTGAGAGATAAAAGATGTATTATGCTTGTTCTTTAGGAGGTCAAGCCAGGCCACTGTCCCAGAATGTAATTCCACTAAAAACAAAGCTTGCCCATGAGGAAAGCCCAGCTCTCACACTGGTAGACATATGGGCTGGCTTGAAATCGACAAATAATTGTATCCCGTCCCCACTTGGCTTTATTTCAAGACAGAAGATGAATTAGATATTGAGCAAAATTATTGGCTGAGTGAAAAATGGATGTTCTTGAAGCCAAAAAAGAATAAAAGAGGTGGAGAAAAGCAGTGAATAGGCCATTAGAGAGTGACAAAAGGCAGCCTATGGGGGAAAGGTCATTGACAGAAAGGAACACTCAGTCCCAGAGATACCAGATGCGGAAACAAAATGAAACCTCTGGGGATGCTGTTAGCAGGCCCGGTGTGCGGTGGAAAGGAACCGTGGGGCGGGCTGTGTTCTCGCCCACACGTTTTGTTCGCCATTTTGCATGTATTCCTGCCCAGGTTCCCTCCCTTCTTTTCCTGGGACATGCAGCTCATTCATCCTTGTCTGTGTGTGGCACAAGGATGGAAAGGATACTAGAGACGCACAAACCATGGACCCTCCCCTTGAGGAGGGCAACGGACAGGAAATGTTCTCCGTTCAAATCCTAAACCCTTCCTTTCAGGTTTGGAGACTTTTAAGGAGCCATCAACTTTCCCAAGCCTCACTTTCCTTACCTGAAAAATGAGAATAAAGCAGAGCCTACTCCAGAATGTCGTATGAGGGCTAACCTGTCCTTTCTTATCCCTCTGACATGCCTGCAGAAGTAGGAACACAGGCTTTTGCGTGGTTAGATGGGTGTGGGTGCATTAATCTCTGAACTGCAATCTCTTTGGCCATGAAATGGAGGTAGTACTATCCACGATGTATCAATAGGCTTGTCATGGAGATGAAGTACAATAAGGAATGTTTACCAACAAAACTGTGGAATAGGCACTCTGCAATTCAAACGGAAGAAGAAATGCGTAATCCTTAAGGCACCTGCTGCGCTGCGTTGATCTCCCTAACGTGGCCGAGGGCTCACCGGTTTTCTTTTTTTCTTTATTTATAATAAACTACGTGTGCACGTGTGCGTGTGCATGTGTGTGTGTATGTGTGTGCGTGTGTGCACACATGGGCGTGAATGTGAGAGAAAAATAGAAACAGCATTTCTGGTCATACCATGACTCCCTTCCTCCAGCCCCAAGCCTGTAGGATCTTGGGTACTTGTGTGTATGTCTGGAATATTTCAGGACAACCAGGCCCAGGCCAGTAGGTTCGAGCCACAGTCCTCATGTGGAATCCAGCTTCCCTCAGGCAGTCCATCAGAGCTGTGCCACGGAGCTGACCTGAATTTAAGAGGTACGGATTGGAGGCCAGCCTGCTGGCAACCCACCTCCCATGCTTCTCTACTTTAAGGCCCAACTTGTTTGGACAAGTTTTTAGACAGTTGTGGTCATCAGAACATCCAGAAACAGCTGTGCCCACCCTTCTGGCTGGGGGCCGTGTAGAGGCAGAGACTGGTGGGCTCACACACCCGCATTCTGTCCCAGCTTGGCCACTTCCTGCTGGTTACCTTGTTAGAGTCTCTTTATCTGTAAAGCAGACAGCAAGCTCTACCTTGCAGAATGCGGAGATGAGTGGCGTAAGGTGCCACCAGGGACCCGGGAGGCACTAGATTCTCAGAGGGCCTTGGTTGGCTGCTTGTGTAGGTGCCCCAGGTTCCCTCCCACTGGGCCTTCTCACAGCCAAATATACCTCCATTGAGTGATCAGATTCTGTCAAATCATACAGAAATGGGTTCTTAAAGCCCATTCATTCTTACTGTTGATGAATCATTTTTATTATCAGTAATAATGACTATTGTATGCGAGGGTATAGACTTTGATGCAAAGTGAGCAACTGATCTGATACTAGCTGCAGATTATTTATCCTACATTTTAGGTTCCTCATCTGTAATACGGGGGTAATAGCAGTCTCTACCCCATAGGCCTGTCATGGAGGGGAGGAGATGGTGCACGCCTGGACAGAGTTGTTTCTATTATGTGCTTAATATGCTAGTGATCCTATGTTTATTGTATTCTTTAAGTGTGTTTATTTCTTCTGTGAGTGATAGAGACAGAGAAATAAAGAATAGGAGACTGAGTGAGAGAAGAGAGAGAGAGAGAGAGAACCCCCAAAAGGATCTTAACACTGAGATCCACGCCCAGCCTTCAGCCAGCCATGGATCATGGGCACACGGGAGGTGCCTGACTTGAACTGCGAACCTCCTCATGTGGGACTACTTGCAGAATGTCAGGCATTACTGCTGCTCCACTGGCCTTATGTTTATTGCATTCTTATGCATTTCTAAGTCATTTGTGAATAGACCTGGAAAATCCAACATAGTGTATTGATAAAACGTTTTTGTAATGAAAATGGCATTAGATGGTTCTAGATTCTAGCTGTTCCACCTTCCTGGTTTGCGAGGCAAGGTATGGTCCATATTGCAAAGCACCTAAGTTCCTGTACTGGGTAGAGTTTATTAAGCATCACACTGAAAATTGGGCCTTGTCAGGATGGGGAAGAGAAAAAGAGCGAGAGAATTAATGAGAGAGAAAAAGAACCTGATTACTCCACTTTTCCCATCTCCTTTGCCTGAATGGTAGAACGAGTTTAATATATACATATTTAGTGTGACTTTGTTCTTTTCTTATACAAAAATCCAACCTATATATGTACCAAATTGAGAAGATTCTGAAATGAAGAAGGAAGCTAGCTGGTTTAATTGCATCTTATAAAGAAAGCCTGATGCTGTTTCATCTGCAAATGTGATGTAATGATGTAACGACTCTTTTACTGCTTACCTTTGGCTGAGAGAATCCCATGAAAGTCAGAGTGTGAAAACATTGTAAACCATAAAGAGCTACATATGTAAGGTATCATTACTTTATTACTACTAAGGTATTTGTGAGAGATTGAACAGCCAAGTCTCACCCTCTCTCCTCTGCAATTTATATGTTGATGTCCTAACCTCCAACAGTGGTATATTTGGAGGTAGGGCCTGCAGGGAGGTTATTAAGGTTAAGTGAGGTCGTAGCATGTGGCCCTAATCCAGTTCAGTCGCTGCCCTTATAGGACAGGAAGGAGACCCCAGCCCTGGTTTTCTCTCTTCTCTTCTCCCCATGTGAGGGTTCATGGAGAGACGCTGGCTGAGAGGCAGGGAGAGAGCTCTCAGAAACCTTGGGCTTCCCAGGTCCAGAACTGGGAAATAATGTATCAGGTTGCTTATAAACCATAGTTATTTCTCTTTATTTATGGCAGCCCAAGTTTACGGAGATACTCTTTCAACAGAAAATTCCCTTTAGCCCCTGGGGTCAATATTCCCATCAATAAAGAACAAACCATCCCTTCAACAGATTCTGAAAAACCCAGTGGAAGCTGATCTCTGCTTCGAACACTGAGGAGATTTGAGCTGCTCTCATGCAGCCTACCCGGGCACTCTCGCTGCTGTCCTCTCAGCCTCTGGGGCAGGAACTCGGCTTATCTTCTGCAGGTGCGTGATGTCGTATGAGAGCACACGAGTTATTTAGTTTGGTTTTTATCCACCACAAACCAGGGAGGGTTAGATGTTGGCCCTGAAGTAGCTACATGTGGGTTGTGACTTAGTTAAAAAGTGCCTTTGGTCAAGGACCCTCTGTGATTATTGTTCGGGCCATTCACTGAGGCCCTAGATTCTGTGGCCAACTGTGTGGTTTGAATCCTGAACTCAGTGGTGTGAAAAACACATCAGGTGAGAGACCAGTAGATGGTGCAGTGGTTATGTTTCTGAACTCCCACATGGTTAGCCATGGTTTGAGTCCTGCACCTAGTGAGGACTCCCACATGGTTAGCCATGGTTTGAGTCCCGGACCTAGTGGCTCGAAACTCACACCAGGCGCACGCATGTGTGTGTGTGTGTGCGTGCCCAAGATCCCAGGAGAATTGCAGTGTGGCTACCCCACCCCCCACAAGGGAGTGATTTCTCACTTCCCTCTCACTGTGTCTGTCTGTCTTTCTCTCTCCAGTGAATGTACATGCCCTAAGGCAAAAAATCTCTCTTAAAAAAAAAAATAAAGGAAAAGAAAAAGACATCAAGTATGTGTGTGAGCATGCCCACAGTCCTGCAAGGAGAAATGGAGGAGGAGTGATAAGTGATTATGGTGCAACCATCCCTCCAACCATGGGTTGTGCTTTCTTACCCTCCCTCCTCCTCTCTCTCTAGTGAGCACATGTACCCTCTGGTGAAAAAAAAATTTAAATTATTATAAATACATTTTTGCATAACCACTATGTGCCTATAAAGTGTTGGGCACTTTTGCGTATTTTGTTTTACTTAATGTAATGGGGGTCATTACTTAATATAATGATCTCCCTGCAGGCCCTATATTAATTTTACTTAATGTAAAGGTAATTAAGGTGCTGGACTCCCACATGGCTGACTGTGGTTTGAGTCCCAGTCAACTTGCTTTCTCACTTTTCCTCTTTCTTTCCATCTCTTCTGGCCAAATTAAAAATAATAATAATAAATTAAATTAAATAATTGTTTTTTAAAAAACATAATCAGATCTTCCTCCCGATACCATTTGTGAAGTTAGCTTGCCTAAATTGCTAAACCTCAGCTTTAGACACAACTATTGTATATTTTAGCCTCTACCTTCCTAGTTAAACTTTCCCGTGTTATAGGCACTTGTTTCTTAAGCATTACGGTCATTTTGGCAAAGCATACAGAGGCAACACTGATTTAGAATACAGGGTCACTCTGTGATTCTGGAATGAAATGAAGTACTTATTTATTAGGTATATGTATTTATTTATTGGGTGTATGTACTGTGTTTCTGGCACTGGGATAGACATGGACTGCTGTTTTTCGGTACTCTCACTATATATAGCTAGAATGCACGCACGCACACACACACACACACACACACACACACACACACGTTCCTACTGATGTTTTCTCCATTTCCAATTCAAATGTAGTATTACAAGGTGCCTCCCTCCCCCTCCCTTTTTTTAAACACAGAAAATCCTGATTTTCAAGGCCCTGAGGAATGTATAGAAATGAGATATCACATAAGTATTCATTTCTCATCCTACCTTGACAGAAAATATTCTGTTTTTTAAAAATGTGAGAGGGCATGTTCACTCACCTGAGAAAGACAAAGAGACACAGAGTGAGAGAGTGAAAGAGCAAGGGAGAGAGGAAGAGGGAGGGAGCACCCTGCCTTGAGGAATGGTAACACTGCAGCAGCCCCTTTTCTTCCATTTCTCCCTCCTTTCAGGATTTTGAGTGCACACACAAAGTGCCTGGCACGCTGAGGCCAGGATTTGAATTGCAGTTGGCCATGTGGGTTCTGCCTCCCTTAACCACTAGGCTATGGGGCTGGCCACATAAAACATTCTTAAAGTAGCAGTACCAGCATCTCCATCAATATTTTTTTTTTTTTGAGAGGTTTTTGCTATAGGGTGCGTGCGCTCACCAGACAGACAGAGAGAGACAGAGAGATAAAAAGCGAGAAATCACCCCCTGGGGGGATGGTCACGCCGCAATCCCCTCTCCTCTGTACTCCTCTTGGGATCTTGGGCACGCACGCACACGCGCCCGGAGTGAGTTCTAAGCCACTGGGTGGGTTCGGGACGCGAACCGGGGTCGACTACGTGGGAGTCCAGCGACATAGCCATTACGCTAACTGCTGGTCCCTCCATCAATATGTTTTTTAAAAAATGATGTATGCTCTTCTCATTTTTCCTTTATTTATTTATTTATTTATTTATTTATTTATTTGTAGTACTATGTCTATGTTGGCAGGGCAAATAGCCATCATTTACCGTATTCTTTCTATATTTGGTCTGAATTCTTCATATAAATAAATATTGAACGCTCACCAAATCTTTATGCCAGTATGTCAGCCAGTTTTGTTACCCAAATCTCATTCTCCAGTAAAATTTTAGGAAGGACTCAAGGAAATGATATGTCTAGAATTGCTGTATTTGGAAGCCAATTTGTCTTCAGTCTTTATACTTACGTGTTACCTTGACAGATTATGAAGTCTCTCATTCATAACCATTTTTATTTAAGGTTTCAAATGTTACTCCAGTTGCTTTTGGATTCAGTCCTTTTGCCAAAATTCCTGATGACTGGGACCAGCAGATGATGTAGTGGTTACCTTTCTGGACCCCCACATGGCCAACTGCAGTTCAAGCCCTGGATCCAGTGGCTTCAAAATCATGCCGAGCGTGTGTACATCATCCCTGGAGGAAAATGGAGAAGGGATTGCGATGTGGCCCTACCCCAGGGGGATGATTTTTCACTTTCTTTCTTTCTCTGTCTCTGTCTCTCCAGTGAGTGTATGCACCCTAAAGCAAAAATCTCTCTAAAAAGAATTCCGATGACAATATGTTTTTTTGACTTTAGAGTTCACTTGGTGTTTGGTTTGTAGGTTTACCAAGGGATGCCTGATCATGGCTATTCTGGGCTGATTTTCTCAGATAAATATGAACTTTAAATATGTGTATGTATAGGGACCAGCAGTTAGTGTAATGGCTATGTCGCTGGACTCCCATGTAGTCGACCACAGTTCGTTCGAGTCCTGGACCTGGTGACTTAAAATCACGCCAGGCACGTGTGCATGCATGCCCAAGATCCCAAGAGGAGAATGGAGGAGAAGGGATTGCAGCATAGCCATCCCCCCCGGGGGGTGATTTCTGACTTTTTCTCTCTCTCTCTGTCTTTCTGGTGAGCGCACGTGCCCTATAGCAAAAACAAAACAAAACAAAATGTGTGTATGTACATATATGTATATATATGTGTGTATGTGTATATATATATATATATATATATACATATATATACACACAATTATGGAAACTTTTGAATTTTAGTTTTTAGTATTCTGTTTCTTATTTATTTAAGATTTTGGTCTTTGGGGTCTCCCATGTTGAATCATATCCTATTTTATAAATTTGTTTCTTTATAAATCTTTTCATTACAGTTTTTCCCTTCAAAGTCCCCTGCACTTAACCTTATATTTAAGTATCATCTACAATGTTTAATAACTCTTATTTTCTGCTTTTGCCCTCATTTTTAAAAATAAATTTTAAAATGTATTTTTAATTTGTTTTTGAGAAAGACTTTTGCTATAGGGTGTGTGTGTACTCGCTGGCGAGACAGAGAGACAGAAAGTGAGAAATCACCCCCCCAGGGGGAATGGCCATGCTACAATTCTTTCTCCTCCATTCTCGTCTTGGGATTTTGGGCATGCATGCTCACATGCCTGGTGTACTGGGTCCAGGACTTGAACCACCGTTGACTGCATGGGAGTCCAGCAGCATAACCATTACACTGTCTGCTGGTCTCCAAATGTCTTATTTTCCCCTTATGCTTTATTGCCTCATTCCCTATTTTTTAAGAATTCTGAATTACATTATTTTATACCTTATATCACTCTTTAATATATTGGGCTTTTGGAAAAGTCATGCGTATTTTTCTATATTTTTATGTGCAGAAATGCATCCTGACTTTCCTAAAGCCCCATTATTTTAGCTTGTTTGGGGATATCAAGTTATAGTGTTCATCTGTTTTGTGGATTTGCTTTTCTGATTTGATTTTGTTATTCGTGGGGATGTTATGCTACTCTTTATTTCCATTTATTTCAATAACTTTGCATACATTTGGTATTGATCCATTCTAACAGTCAGTTTTATGTGAAATTAGTTTTTCTGAAGTAGTAAACGAGAGGCCTGGATTAGGAGAGGTAATTTTTTTTTTTTTAAATCTTATGAGTGAGCATTTTCTTCTTTACTGTTTTTGTTAAAGGTACATGCACTACTTTCTAGACTTTTCTGGCTCTGTTCTCCTTTTCCAATGTTATTGAGGCCTTTTTTTTTTAATCTTTTCTTTATTGTCCCTGTTACTCTCAATGTGGATTCTAGCTCCAGTTTTTCCTCAGTGTGGTGTTTTTCTTTTTTCTTTTTTTCTGGAAAGGGACTCTGACCTGTTAATTCTGAGAATTTCCAGGGTTGGTCTACATGACTTCATATAGCGGGCACACAGGGGCACCTGTACTCCCTCGCTGTTGCAGTGTGTAAACCCTTCTCAGCTCCAGATGTTGCAATGAATTGGCACTCTGAATTTTTGAGAGAAAACTTGTTGGTTATTTGGTAATTTTAAGGCCCACCAGTAGCACCTTCTATCTGCTTCCTTTTGCACAGATGCTAATATTGGATCACTGGGTAAGGGATATTTTTGCATAGGAAAGCAGAAAAATATGTCCTAACTCTCCCCGACCTGCCCGTCTGTGTGTAGGGCCTGAGCTGTCCGTGCTTTGTCCTCATCCACTCACGAGCTGGAGCTCATGGATGTACATTGTCTCCTGGTTGGATGGTATAGGTTGCCTGTTGGTTTTGTTTTTGCTGTCATAGTTGTTTTAGGGTTTATTTTTTTTTTTTAGAATTATTTATTTATTTAATTCCATTTGTTGTTATTATTTTTTAATTTGACCAGAGAGACAGAGA